TGCTGCTGCTTCTCCTTTGGTTGCTGCACAGTGTCCTACGGATACTGTCACTGCTGCTACAGCACAAGCAGCAAAGGCAGCCAGCTGTAGCAGCACAGGTTCCTGCAGCAGCAGCTGCTGCTGCAGCAGCAACTACAGCAGCAGCAGCAGCAGCAGGATTCAGGGTGGGGAGGTGCCCGCATGTTGAATTGCTTACATTTGTTACTTAAAATATTTTCTGATTTTTGGATGGGGTTTCGTCTCTAGGGTTTCAGTTGCAGCTGCAGGGATGAACCGAGGGTTTAGGGTTTAGGGTTTAGGGTTTAGGGTTTGGGGTTGAAGTGCTTGGTGGCTGCAATATAAAGAAGATTGTTTGTGTGGTGTGCGATCGTTCGTTCTTCGTGAGGGGTCCTCTGCATATAAATAAAATAATTTTCTTTTTTTTTAATTAAATATTTGCATTTATTTAATTTTTAAATCATAAAAAAAGGATAAAAAACAAAATTTTCGTCGCGTTTTGTTCTTTTCTAGCTGGGCGTCACGGGGCCCCCCCACAGGGTCACTCGAGAGCGGCTGGCCGCCGATAGACGAAACCTAAGAAGATAAATGCTGCATCTGAGGAGTAATTTATAGATATTTTAAATTAAATTAAAAATATAAATCAAATATAAAACACTATATAATATAAAAAAAATTATTTCTCTAGCAGGTGGCTAGCGAGCCCATGAGGGGGTCATCCGTCGATCGGTGCTGCTGCTGGGCCTGGGGGTCTTCTGCTCTCCTACGTATTCTCGTTTCTTTATATTTCTAGTTTTTTTCATTCCTTTTGTTTTATTTTCTTTAAAAAGTGTTTTTCAACTCATGTTTGTCTTTTTTGCGTCATCAGAAACACAGAGAGGGGTCATACTCTCACCATCGCAGCTACCGGCTAGCAGGGGGCCCCCCCATGGGTATACACATATCTGCCTTTTAGGGGGCGTTGGGGGCCCCCCTTTTCTCTGTTATTTCTCTCTTCTTGGTTTGGAGTAGATATTTCATCTCCTTTCTGCCTGTGTTCTCTGCGGGCTTGCTTGCTCTGCATCCCCTCATGAGCTACAGAGAGGAGGCCCCCTGGGCATACAACACACAGTCTGCTGTTTTTGTTGACCCTTACTGCAGCAGCAATCGCAGCACCGAAATCTTCTCCCCCAACTCCTCTTTTGTTGGTACCCCCTGTGGGGTTACATCTACTGTTTATAAAGAAGGGCCGGGGCCCTCCCCTCCAGACCCTGCTTGGGGGCCCCATGGGGGCCCCCCCTGGGCAGTATCTTGGGGGCCCACCTGGCAGCCTGTAGGGGGCCGCCGAGAGGGGGCCCCATGGGGGCCCCCCCCCCGGGGGCCCCATCCCCCGAACAGACTCGCAAACCAGTTAGGGTTTAGACAGAAGAAACACTCAAAAAGAAAAGGAAGGATGAAGTCCCCGCAGCCTCCTTTTAGTAATTACCCTGATATGCATGCACAGGGGGAGGAGGGCCCCAGAGAGCGCCTGCGGCAGCAGGGTGTGATGACGATTGATGAGTTGCTGCAGCCTTGCTGGCCGCCGCAGCCGCAGCAGCAGCAGCAGCAGCAGCAGCAAACGGGTTCGTGTAGTGATTGCTGTCACAACAAGTGCTCTCATTCATGTATGCACTCAAGCAGCTCAACTTGTGCTGCAGCAGCAGCAGCAGCAG